GCTTAAGGCCGCTATCGAAGCATCCTGGGCCTCCCTAACACCTCAGCAGTGCCACAGGCTGATTGCCTCCATGCCACGCCGCATTGAAGCAGTCATTCATGCAAAAGGATTCCCGACCAAGTATTGAGTGCATAACTGAATATGATTATTTGAAGGTTGGCGTTTTTTGTATTAAAAACACTTGTCTTTCATTGGTGGGATGAAATGTGCTAATTTTTTGGGACAGGCATTTTGGGTTTTCATGAGCTGTATTCTGGGTTTTTTGGGTTATATAACGAAATTCATCATAATTGTCAGAATGCTCTGAAATATCACAATATTTATTTGAGCCATATCGCCCACGCCTATTGGATCGGATTTTGTAACAGATTGGGGAATGAAAAGGTGCTCATCTCTTCAGGGGGTTTGGTTGTCGGGGCGGGGGGAGGAGGGGGGAGACAGCTCCATGTTGCAAGTTAGCTTACAGCCACGTTCGTGATGTCAGCTGTCGACTGGCGTGAGAGTGTGTGTGTGTGTGTGTGTGGGGGGGGGGGGGCGTAGCATCTTAGCTAGCACGTCTGTGTTGTGTGCGGCGAGATCTTCCCTTAAGCTTTGAAAACTCCAGTGGATGCAGTTCTAGAGAACACCTTGAAGGAGAAATATCATGTTGAGGAGAAAGAAGCCAGGTAAGTTTTCTGGAAAGTAAAATAGTTCAAATCAGTGATGGGGAAGTGGCGAGAAAAACAAGAGGAGAAGGAGATGGATGTTATTCCCAGAGGATTGTGAAGGAAAGAATAAAAGTTATGAAGTGTAGAAATTGTGGCAGCAAAGAAGGAACCTGTAAATTATTTTGTTTTAAGAATTACATGCAGATTGACAAAAGGGAGTAAAATGAGTTGGTTTTGTTTCTAGTCACTTGTTTGGCACAGAGTAATTTAATGTTGTGAAGCTTCATGATGTCAGCTCAGTTTGTTACGAGTCTACCACTAAATCAGGAAACAGTAAAAAGACTAAATTCACTGCAGGTAGTTATTAAAATGTCACCTGTTCATTGGGTAAAGTTAATATTCTTATTTTAAACATGCAGCTGAGTGTCACCGTTGCTTTAGTACAGCATGTGTTACAAATAAAACTAAATGAAAAGTTAACAAAATAAAAGTCAAGTGCATCCCTAAAGTCATTGTTTGTGATAAATTGTTTCACATTAAAATCTTAGCTATAAGACTGAGTTTAAAAACCGGATGATGAGATATGGGCTAGTTGAACGAGGTGTCTCTAAAATATCCTGATGCATGATCAATAATTTCAACTATTTTTTTATCCGTCCAGAGAACCTGACTTTAATTTTGTTGATGTCTCTAAAATAATTAATTGAATCAAATGTTTACTTATGTAGGTAAATGTAACGACCCATTAAAATAAACCAGAATGAAGAAAATGGCATTTACTTTATTCAAAATTTGCAGGTACGACCTGAAGTTATGAGGAATACAGAAACAATAGTAATCTGTACTGTGGCACGTGTAATATTTAAAATATTTAAATATTCCTAACATTCCTTGTGTGATACTGGTGATTGCAACAAATTGATCAGTTCCCACAGGCTGAAGTAGTGGAGGAGGAGAGAAAAGAGGAGAGAGGGAAGGAGAAAAGAAGGAGAGAGGGAAGAAAACCAGTAAGCACAGAGAATGTGGCTGGGAGCTAAACTGGACTGGAATAACCCAGTTGTGCCCGTGGCTGTCCCGCACCAGTCAAGGTGAGAATTAAGATTAAATACA